AAAGAAACACCCGACAATAAAAATTATTCAATATCGTGTGAGTCGGAATAGAAAAGACATTTATTTATCTACTGGCATATTATAATGGATACATTTGCTGTATTTTAGTACCATAAATCTGTCCATCGTCGTACTAGGACTAACAAATTGTATTGCATTTGTACATTACTGCATAGCTGTTGCGCTACAATGTATGCGGATAGGCAGCAGCTTATTGTGTTGTCAAATGATTTCGGTAGCAAAAACTTCGATGCAGAGGTGTTTCCGCATCAACTGCCAGTCACGCGCTTGGCATAACTATCGTCCTTAGTTGTGACTGTTGTAAACAGCGAATTGCACATTAGAACTGTTCTGACAGGCCGAACGGTACTTGTTTATCTGGCGCAGTGGGATCGCTCAAACTGCGGGAAATTTTATTGTTGTCAGCTCGAACGTTTGATTTTTCGGAATACCGTTTTGTCGGCGCCCGCTGCCAGATATTCTAATTATTGAAACGCGTTTGTTTTTTCCTTATTATATAAGTTTGTTTTCCGCGACCGCCCACAAGGGAGGTATTTTTAAAAACAATTCAGATAAATCATTAAGCAGTTGACATTAATGCGTCTGGGATATGGAAGTAGCGTCTTTTAAAACCTAGAAATTGATCGGAAAGTACCTAATAAACAAAACAAAATTTGTATGTTGACTATAAGCTTCATGTTTTATAAAATTTTAAACAAATTTCTTTTTCATTTTTTCTTCCTTCTGTCTCTAATATTTCTCTATATTAAAAAATTACAGAAAAATATTGTAAAACCAGTTTAGGAAGTGAATTTTTTGTTTTCCATTGCATGAGCTTCAGAATTGAACGTGACATAATGCTCATTTTGCAGTTTTAGTGTCCGTTTTGCAACAAAAGTTTTAGAAATTACGGTACCTAAATTCCATTCGTGAAAATTGTATGTTGCAGTCAGAAACTAGTTAAATTTGCGTTACGATATCAATAAGTAGTGAGAAAATACATATATATTAAATTTTTATTTTTTTTCTTACATGAACTGTACGAAGTTTTCATCTCTTGGGACACAAAAGTTGTAATTAAAAAAGTTTTTCAACGACTATTTCTCAATTATTAGAAGCTGATATTTTGTCTTTAAAAACATATGTGTACGAGCAGAATAGTATTATCCTGAGATAGATGTAATTAATGAAAGAAAAAAAAAATTGAAATACCTAAAGAAGTATTTAATTACTGTTAAATATTGGGCAATTTACCAAGGAAACATTTGTTACCTGATATCGACAGTTGTTTTAACAAAAAATATTAATATTAATTTTCATACGATATAATTTTTCAATAATTAGTTGTTTAATTAACGATTTAATTAAATTTGGTATGACCTAAATGAAATTAACCAATTTCTCTATTTCAGTAATTATCGTCATTGTTTTCTTTTCACCTGTTCCTATCAAGGTATTTGTAGGGTGCGGCTTGGGTTTTTCAATTCAAAAGATCAGTGAAACTTACAATTTTCGTTGGCAACTGAATGAATATCGCTGTTTCAACTACAATTTTTAAAGATTTCGCGAGATTTTCACCTAGTTTACGGGCATGTTGAAAACAATTACCATATACTGGTAATTTCACAATTACCCAACTCGCAGCGTTGTGTTTTATCTAAAGCAACGTAGTCTCCTTCATACGTCGACCACCTGTTTCATCGACAGCTTGTGTAGCTGTGGTATATTTAATTGTATAAGTATTCGCAGTAGAAAATATTAATATGTATATTATTGTGTTACTATTGGTAAAATATACATGCGTAGATTTAAGGGAATGTTTAAATAGGTGTAAATTGAAGTTTATATCTACCCTGTCACCTCATTAATTGGGCGCGGATTCCGTCACACCTACGGGGAAAAAACTAATTAGTGGAGCTGATAGCATTTGCATATGATGTGGGAGGCAGCGTGTAGCGAGATGTATTAAAATATTTCTTGTTTTATAGCGCCTGATAATATTTTTCTTGGCGGCGTCATTGCTTTTATATTTAATTTGTTTTTTAAAAACGCGATTGGAACTATTTCGGACCTTGATTACGTTATTCGCTCCTTGAATCACATCCTTAAAAAAATTGAGGAGCTAGAATCTATCAACATTTTATTAAACTCGATCGTTTAAAAAAATTCTGCCAATAATTTTTTGTCAAAACCGGAATATAGTATAAATAGAAGGAAGGAACTGGGTTATCTATATTTCACGGCGAATTTTGTCATTTAGGTTAATGAACACCGTTACTACTTGAAAATATAACAGCCGTGTATTATTTTCAACTTTCAAGGTGTTCTACAGATGTAGAGGTTTATGCATTTAGTAGCTATTAAGTAACATGTATGCTATTTTTTTTTTTTTAATTTTTTGAATAAACTTATAACTGCTGTAAATAGGAATTTGCTGGCCTACGTGACATAATACCTCTAATAGCTTCGTGGAGATTCGAAAAACATCTCGCAGTTACCATAAATTGAGAATAAATTATGATATCTCGGGGAAATAAGGAGTTGGCTCCCGGCCATGAAAAATTTTATTTCGCAAAATGATATTGCTGGAAACAACTACTTCACTGACATTTAAAGATACGACATTTGTTTCGTAGGTTGTATCTTACCAATACTCAACCTCAAAGTAAATGTTTTTCTGAGAAATTAAAATGGGTTTTAATTATGTATACTCTGTAAAAATATCTTTAAACTCAAAATAAATGAACTATTCTCTATCATTCGAATTCCCAGTATTTCTTTCTTATCGATCAAGGGGCATCTTCCCAAGTTTTGTCCGGCGACAGTCCGCTTCAAATAAACGGTTGAAATGGGGTAGATAAGGGATAAACGTTAATTAGATTACTCCTTGAATCGCGAACAAGTAATTTGGTGGGAGAGATTTCGAATTAATTATTCAATTGTCTCTTAATCAGTCGACTTGTACACCTTTATTCTTACTCTTCTTCGCCGTCGCATATAACAGGAATAAATACAAGAGTTTATGTAGCCTTATTAACGCAATTCATAAATGTCTAAATTGTTAACATAAAATTACCGTCTTATTATTATTTCCCGCTTTAATTGTAATGTTTCGGGGGTGTGGTATTTTTAGATTTTCTATATATCTGTAAAATAAAAGCTCGGAAACCTTCAAAGCAAATGCAAGGCAACAGAGATCACTTGTGTATAAAATCGCCCCAATCAAAACTTGTTGTTGTTTCAAGGAAGTATGTGGGATGCTTTATGTAGTCTATGAAAGAAATTGACCGTAATATATAAAAGGTAATATTATGTCCTTTGTTATTTGTCTGTTAGAACATCGAATAAACACAAAAGATGAGACGACGCCCTTAGGTACATATTGTTCAGTATTCTGCTAGCTTACGGATTTTCGTTGATTCTCAACCATAGCTGTTTGTAATACTATAATTTTGACTAGAAATAAGAAATCGGTGGACATTAAAACACACAATGAATTGAAAAATGATATCCTATCCTGAAAAAGTAAATAGATAATATAAATTTTATAAGGGATAAAATGCTACTAAAGACATCAATCATATAATCTTATACAGCATGTATACAATATATACAACGGAACTTTTCTAAACCGTTGTCCTGAAAAATGCTGGAAAAATGTTTAAAAACCCCTAAATTTTAGCGTCATCGATATTAATGATTCATTTACTACTACGTCATATAAAAATTACGCCAATCACCAGCCGGTGAACCACAATGCTGTGTTTTAATGTGAGACAACGTAGGTTGGTACCACCCCTGATCCAGTTCTCTTAGCTGCGCCATCGCGACAAAGCACCAAAGCCGGTGGTGATCTAACCAGCCGCTATTACCGCGTTGTTACTTCGCTTTGAAAAAAATCACGGACAGATCCGGTTTCAGTAAAAACTCGTTCCGCCCTCGCGAAAATGAAAGACACGTTCGAGACCAGCTTAGTTCTGTCGTGGCCTTGCGGTAGATAAACACGCCGTCGCCTTATGTCACTCTAGGTTGTAGTACCTTGTGGATTTGCACAATGCGGAGGTGTCTCGGGCCCAGGACCATGAAAGAGTTGCGATATTGGGCGATTCCTGGCATTTGCGGACTATCATGCGAAAGGTTCGTGGCTTCGTTAGCGCCATTTTGTTACTATCTGTACGGCAGTTTGTTTATTGCGTATTATGCAAATTTCTCATTGAGTGGTTTACATAATGAGAGGTGTGTACGAATAATTTTTAAAACCACTGAATTTTCACACATTCTGCGTCATAAAAGTAAAACCTTTCACTGTGAAACTGTACCAGGGTAGCTCGAATTGTATGCAGAACAATGTGTTTGTTATTGTTCAATTACGTTCCATAATTTGTTTTTTTTTATGACCAGAGATATAAAATTTATTTTGATGAATAAGTTATGGATATTATACGAATTTATTTGTGGTACAGTTTTTGTTTTGTCTTTATTTACTGTTTCCTCCCCTGTGAAATTTTTTTTTCGAGTTATTTTTGTAGACCCCTTACAACTATTATATGAATTATCTTATGTCAAATTTGACGTGTAGGTCGATGACAGTTATTGTAGCTCTGATAGGTTGCCATTTTTTTCAAATATAAAATAAACATTTGTTTTTTTAAACGAAACATTGTATATTTTCACTAATTTGGATATTCAAATATATGCAGAATGTGTTATTTATTGTATTAAAACAAACCACACTGTCTGACAAAAGGACAATTATTTCTTCTTACCTTTAAATATCAAATTTGACATAAATCGGAGAATTTTTATAAACATGACGGAAAGCTTGTCATTTTATAAACGCTCTATAGACAACTATAAGAATAAAACTGTGTACAAGATGTAATTAAATGTACAGCCATGGTTAAAAAAACATGTTCATTATTATTGTTAGCTGGGAACCTTTTTTTGTCCACAGCTGTACGCTGAAATCCAACTAACCACCGTTTCATCTTCTGTTTCAGAGTCCAGTCACCGTAGTGATTCTGGCTCTGGGTATTGGCAACTACAACTAGACCGAGACCTGGTGGACACCATCTCCTCGATCTACCCTGAGTGGTTCAAAAACAACATGGCGGAAGGTGGAGGGTCGCCTCCTGCCCCCAGGGATTCCCCGCCCAAGGCGGTGATAGACACCTCTCCCATTGTCATGGACCAGAATAAAGAATGTAAGGGACAATACATTTTAAAATGTAATAAATAATACATCATAAAAAGAAAATATGTACGTCGAGTGTAAATTTTTATCGGTAAGGACGTGACGAAATATCCAGCTGCGATTATGATTGGTAGTATTTGTGCCAGAGATAAATAATATCAGACGGCAGCGAGAGCTTGGGATATTGTGTCGGAACACGACCGACAGGTTAATTAAAACTCCTAATTATTTTTTTAATCTTTCTTTCGGCGCCGTGTCGGTCCGTGAGCGCTTGGACGAAACCGATAGCAATTTACCCACCTCGTCTGTTTCTAAATCCGGAAACCCGTCGAATTAATTTAAATCTAAGTCCGTGCAATTGCCTCTCGGCTCCCGTAACGCCAGTAAAACAAATAAATTCCGCTTCTCATCCGTCATTAATTAGGGCGAATAAATACGGAGCCTAATTGGCATTAACGAAAAAACACGTTCTCGATACAGAAAAGAATGTTTGCTCGAGGAAACGCCGGCAGAAAAATCAGAGATTTGAAATCGGATTTATCTCGGAAACGAGAAGGAAAAATATCTGCGAGGTGGAATTATATTAATATTATTTATTATTATTTATAACAATTCGAGATCAAAGAAATAGAGCACTAGTTTGTAATTTATATATACACAAAAATAAATATGATTTTTTTTTTAAATTTAATCAGATTACAGCTTATAATCTTTCCAATCCGTGTAAATATATTTTTTTTATAAAAAAAAGTAGTTCGGAAGATGTAAGTTTGGTTCTCGTCATAATTTATGTAATTATTTTGCGTAAGCAAGTAAGCGTATTATGTAGCGGCGAGTGCTGAAGAAACCTACGGACGGTATTTGTTTAAATGATACTGAAAACCGTTTTAAGTGAGCTATAAACAACTTTCGCCCGTGTCTCTCGGGTATTGCATAATGTTTGTTGATAAGCGACGACGTTAGCGGTGACGTTTCCGGTCGGCACACCGGAACAGGGCCTGCGATACTCCACCGGCCCGTCGTGGAGTGCTGAAGCGGTCGTTGTCTTTGACCTCGCCTAGGTCAGGATCGGATATCGCACGCTCTATTCTTCCGCAGACGTGAACCGCCTTCATAGTGTCCAAACGCCCACCGAAACGACGCCGTTGCCGAGGTAGCCTGCACACCATGTGTTCATATCTATCTCTTTGTTGTAGCCCTGAAGGTGAAACTGCTGTTGCGGCGCCCGTTCGATCAGCTGGTTGCACAAGGAATCATGCCCCGTAAGTGTTAACAATTTTTTATACATCTCATATTACCGTTCGCTTTCATTAACATAACAACACCATCTTAATTGCCGTGGATTAATTCTTGAAAGATTTAATTATTTAACGTTTCCAGTTGCTTTTTAGTTGGCATGTGCGTGATAAATACGTGTTGTTATCTGACATATGTCGATCGCCATTTAGCTGGTTGCGTAACGCTTTTTCATGTACTGTTTGTCATTTAAAATGTTCTCTGTTCTCTAGCGCACAAAACACCGGCCGCTTTCCACGGCCAGAGGCGGCAGTTGGAGCGTGCGAAAACAGGTGACATGCTAAAGACCAAAATCCAACAGAGGCCGCCCCGGCAGGAGCTCGAAAGGAGGCACATATTGGAGGCGGACCCCAATCACGTGGATCCCAGCCTGGCGGAGCGTCAGCGTATGCTGAAAAAGGCGAGATTAGCCGACCAACTCAACGACCAACTGTCCCACAGACCCGGTCCCTTGGAACTAATCCAGAAAAATATCCTCCACACGGAAGAGCCCATCGAACAAGCGGTCAAAACCGGTAGGATCCCGTACAAGGCTACCAGCGAGGGTCAGCTCAACAGGCCGCAACTGCCTTCCAACTACATAAACCCCGAGGAGGATTCGCAGAGTTCAGAAGGGGATAACACTGTGAGTCCCGGCCCCAGCGATGTTTTGGAAACGGCGGCGAAATCCGCCGGGATCGTAGTGTCGTTGATACAGCCCACCGAAGGGACAGTCGTCGTGACCACTGCTACTCCAGTGCTAAGCAAAGACAATAGTGAGATCGTTTTCGCGGACTTGTGTAGATCGGTGGCCGCCCCGCTGCTTTCGCAGGCTTCCGCCTCGAGCCCCGCGTCTTTAGTGTCTTCCACGTCCACCCTAAGCCCCCTGTCCTCCGTCGCCAGCCCCGTACCCTCTATAGTTTCCCAGCCGGCGACGCCTGCCCCACCGCCGCCGCCTCCAATTTCGCTGGTATCGCGCACCATCCCTTCGCCCGCGAAGAGTGACGCTCCCGGGAAGGATAAAAACAGAAAGAAGTCCAAGTCCAAGTCCGCCCCCAAGGCACGTACAATAAAATTCCACGAATACAAAGGACCACCTAGTGCTCAAAAAAGTTCCAACACCGCCCCCAATCCGGAGAGTTCCTACGATCTGTTATTGAAACAACAGACTCTTCTGCTGCAGTTCCAACTGCAGCTACAACATAAATATCCACAGATTATCCTACCTGCTTCACAGAAAGCGACCACGAGCGAAAGCAACAGTAGTAATATAAGCAATCAGCAACCATCTCCGGCACCTTCCACATCTTCCGAATCGTCTATCCCGGCTAGAATAACCGGGAGGTTGGAAGACATGAAAGTCAGCGATTTAAAAGCGGAACTCAAGCGCCGCAGCTTGCCAGTTTCCGGTTCCAAGCCGCAACTAATCGAGAGGCTGAAACCGTTCACAGGATCAACCGACATCATCAACCAGAACCCCAGTTCCATAGATTCTTCTGTACATAGCAACGCGAGTATGGATCAGTCACACAATTCCCCGCAATACCAGGAGATGGGTTCCCCACAAGAATCCATCAAAGACGACCAGCCCGAACAAATGGAACTGGACCCCATGAGTCCAGCTCCTCCAGTGAAACAAGAGCAGTACCAGATGCAGCAGCAACAGTGCCAGGAGAAGCTGCCGAAGTCCAACGAAGACATCGTGAGGGAGCAACAGAGACAAATAGAGGAGCTGCAAAGGGAGCTTACCTTGTCCCAGTTGAAGTTGCAGGCCGCTACCAGATCCGAACCTAAGGCTCAAATGATCGCCCTTCAAAAACACCTGCAGGCCAGGCAACAACAGCAGCAGCAACAACAGCAACAGCAGCAACAACAGCAGAACGTTGCCTTCCAAATGAAACAGCTGCAAGCGTTGCAAGCCAGACAAGCTCAAGTGAACGAAGAACAGCAGAGGATGCAACAGCAGCAACATATAGCTTTTCAGAATCAAAAGAATATCACCGGAGGCTTGATTATAAACGCCGACGCTGCCCTAGTCTTCAACCACCTGATGCAGGGCAAAGCAAAGGTTCTAAACGGACATGCTAGAACCCACTCTTTGCCTAACTTTTTGAATTCTATCGTCACGCCTATTATTACCGCTCCGGAAATCAAAACGGAATTTATCGAGGACCTCAAGCCCGAGATAAAAATCGAATTCAACGAGGAAAGCAACAAACCTCCACCGCCCTTGTACGAAGAAGCTACCAAGCAAATAAACAAAAAGAACAGCGTTAAAAGTCAGATCGTGGACGACGTCTTGGAGATTTTGATCAAGAACGGGGAACTACCACCGAGTGCCGCGAACGATCCGTCGACCCCCGGTTCGGCAGGGACCAAGGCGACCGAACCCGTTTATCCGACTACAGTACAAAACAACATTAACAACAACAACCAGAACAGTACGAGCATGGATCCGAATAGCCCAGAGGCCGCACTGGGCTTAGATCCGACCGATCTGTTGGATTCCTTGGACAACTTGGACAACATGGACTTCTCGCAATTGGTGATGGAGCTGGGAGGATGCCAGACGCAATCGGACGCCAACATGCAGAACGATCAGACTGACCCGATCGAGCCGATGGACACCGACGACTGGCTCGAGTCCCTGCTGCCTAGCGAGAACGCCTACAACGGGAACAACGGCTCGAGCACGGCCCCCTTGGCCATCCAAGAGACTGACCTCGGTGGCTACGATCCCCTGCTGGGGATAACCCAGGATCCCTTCGATCCCTTCAATTTGGAAGAATTCCGATCGCCCGCCGATCTCACCGCGTCGCTCTCGTGGGACAAAGTTGATTATGCCGCGTAGCCGTCGCGCGCGTATGGAAAATTCGGGCGCTGCTTATTCCAGTGATGTGAGATTCCACTCGGTAAAAGATTGACATTCCACAAATATGGCCGCCAAGATCGCCTATGGGCGCGGGACCAGGGCGGCCCAATCGGCCAGGGAACACATCAGCGTTATTCTGTATATATACATATTACCTAGTTGTAGATATATGCTTAGGATCTAATATTGTAAATATTTATTTGCTCGGTCTGGACAAGTTTAGAACGCCGTTCGACGTGTACGGGGCGTGATGGGTGGTGCTCGGCGCTTTTTATTTAAGTTCTTGAAATTCAGGAGCGGGATTTAGGTACAGCCACACCCGGTTTCTCTGGAAACAATTCCTTTATTCATTTATTTTTAATGGAATTATGATTGACTAAATCATTGAAATAAGTAATCTTGAAATCAATTTCTTGGTTGTAGAATTTTACATAAAATACTGACAATGAGTCATTCCAAATGAAGCAAAAAAATTTAATAAAAATTGCCACTCTTAAACTCTTAAAAATGATCTTGGTTTTATAGGCTTAGATGTCTTAGATATCCAGATATTAAACCAGAAACTGGATTAACTGATGATTAATTAAAATCCATAGAACTCAGGTCGGGACCGCTGTGAGGTCAAAGGTAATTAAATTACTGCTATTTTCGGTTGTTGAGTTATTCTGAATTTCCATTTTTATATATCAAAAGTTATTCCTCTTCAGGGGACACTATACAACATTATAAGTGTTTGTTTGACACATTTAACAAAATAAGAACAAATGAAGTTCAAACGTTCTTTTTAATAGACCCTGAATTTGCGCATATTAAAATATTATAACTTCCTCAACATTTGCAATTCCTGAGCTTGCTGTGATTTTTTACATTACAAAAAAATATATGGAAATTTTAAACGGCAGTATGCATTAGCTTTTGTTTTTTTTTATTGTTTTTCTTGATTAAAGTAATTTTCCTAGAAAAGTGCTAATTATCCAAATTTCGTCTATTTTTCGACATTAACTCAGAAATAGTAAAATTAATAATGACATTGAAATAAAATAAAATTCATTCTGATGAGGGGACTAATAAGTTCGAAACCGGCGATTCTGCTGACGAATGGTTTGTTCACTAGATATTGCGAGTGTAATTCAATTGACGAGGCATGTAGCCCGCAGAGTAGTGCTTTCCCCACAATATTAATCAGCTTACATTTTTTTAAGTTTTAAAATTAATAAATCTTTATAGAAATTAACACGAGTGTTTTGTGGAGTGTAGAGAATATCATAAAAAATTGCCAATATTTTTCAAAAATTAATTAAGAAAAACAGTAACAAACAAAATTATAGTTTTCAAACGTGCACTTTCTTACAGTTTCTTTCATAAGAAATATTTGAATTTCATTTGTTTTTTACTTATTATGTTCACATATAAATCAAGACAGCCTGTATGTACACTATTCATACCTGTCGACTTCCTTAATTCTCAGTATTCTTTATGTGTGTGTTTAAAAACTAGGCTGGACCTTGGGTTAAATATTTTCACAAGAGAAACTTTCCAAAATTATTAATATTCACGATTACACGATCACGTCTTTGAAATCTTTTCCAGTGGAACAGGGCGTACCTTAAAAAAAGCGTCGTTACATTAAAGCCCAACACGTTGTAAAGAAATACTTTTGTATTCGGGTTTAGCTGTGGTGCAAGAAATTTGTCAAGCATTTGATTTGAGATTCCTAGTCATTATTTTAATAAAATCGTAATTTATTTCTTTGTATTTATTCCTATACTTTTTTTTTCTCTTTATATCCAAAGTATGCGCTGTGTTATTAGAGTTTTCGGGTAAAAAGTCCGTTTTACCCACGCAATATGTACAGTTGAATTTTTTTGTTCTTATGTATTTAAAAGTAGTCGCAACGTGCTCCGTGTTTACCCGTTAAACAAATATTTACTCTTTTGTCTAAAGTGTAATTGGTAAATTTAAGGCAAAAAAAACGCGTCGTTGGGGTCATAATATTTGGACCAAATATATAGTAAGAAATTTATTACTTTTATATGAAATACTCTCTAGTAAGTTAAGGTAATTTTATTTCGCAAATTCCAAGTGTCGTCCCGACTTAGTCGTGAACCGGGGTGGCTTCTAAACTTGTCCGCGCGAGGGACAGTAACTACTTAACTACCTGTACAGATTGTTTTGTGACAAAGTCGCCTTTATTTGTTAAGTTATTCGGATGTTAGACATTTATTTTGTTGACTATTTGTATTTAGACGACCGCTTTGCCGGGCCGTAGAGGAATGTCGCGCTCTTAGATTTGCCTAAATGTATGAAACAATCGAGATGCCTTATGATGATACTACAACAATATTATAAATGCTTTCGTGGCCCCCGAACTTGTTTCAGTCCATACTGTTTGGCGTTTATATTATTTTGCTAATTGCTATTGTTTATGGAAACAGTATGTGGGTGAAAGGGCTTCGGCCATGAAATAAAGTAATGACTAAACCATCGTGTTTTATTCAGACCCAAATCGTACGTCACTGACTCTCCAGAAGAACGTCATTACAAGAAAACATTCTGAAAATTATGGCAATGAACATCGTTAAAACACTTGTGAAGACTGTCATTAGACCGATCAAAATAACTCATTTAAAGGAAAAAAAAAAAGAAAATTGTTACCTGGACTTTCATAAGTGGAAATGGTAAAGGGGCTTATAATAAACGAAAAAAAAAATAAAATAATAAATGCGTGAGCAGGAGCGGCGGAGGGTTGATTTGGGGGTTGAAAACTTATGAAAAAGCATCCAATACAAAAGTTGTAGATCATGTAAAAATCTACAACTTTTGTAAAGGTCACTTTTTAACATAACCTCAAAATTTCCGATAAAAATGCGAAAAACAGGTTTCTTTTGATTTTTCGTTTTTTATTTCTCATTTCCGCAAAAATAATTTAATTTTGACGAAACTTGGTGAAAGTATGCCTTTCTCTGTCTTAAATAACATAACCTCAAATTTTTTTGAATAAAAAATCAAGAAGTTTCCGAAATATTAATTTTTTTCGGCCTGAAACACTTTTTTTCACAGAAAAATTCTACTTAAAAAATCATCGTACAGAGTTCTGCCGGTAATCATTTTTTTCGTTTTGACATTACTTTTTGGTGAAATAAAAAAATTTGTAATCACAGTTCAAAAACATGCTCAAAAATGCAAAACATTAAAAAATGACTTGCAGCAATGAATTTTTCAGAATTGTTGATAATTTGTTTAAATTTAAAAAAAAATCAAAAACTGATTACACCATTCAATTGTACGGAAAAAATACAAAAAAACTGTCTTTATTTTACCCAAAACTATTTTTATACAGTATTGTTATAAACATAAGTCGAATAGTGAATGAATAAAATAAATAATATTTTTTTTCCGTAGGATCGATTAGTGTACTTATTTTTTTTAAACTTTGATGAATTCATAAATATACAGTGTGTCCAAGATAAGGATGGGATAGCATTAGGATCTAGGAAACGGTAAGAGATACGGGGTGGCTCAGATTAGAAAAAAGTTGTGTTTTATTTATACCTAACAATATGCTGTTTAGAAAGTTTTAAAATCCCGGGTAGTCCCGGAGATATCCGTAAAAACCCGAAATTTTGCAAAATTGTTTAATTTTTTCTGGCTTTATTTGAAAACAAATTTTAAAATAAATTACATATTAAAATGCCACTTTTTCGCTCTATACAATGGCGTCAACATCCGATGATGGCCCCTCGAAGACGAAACGTCGGATTGCAAAAATGTTGACGCCATTGGATACAGCGATAAATATGCAATGTATTTAAAATTCGTTTTCAAATAAAGCCAGAAAAAAGATAAAACGATTTTGCAAAATTTCGGGTTTTCGAATTTCGCGTCAACAGTAGACTTTGCAGTTAGTATTTTGTATTGCTGAAATCTCAAATCATCCAGAGATAATTTCATCATATCATTTGTGCATTTGTAATTCGACTTAGATGTTTATAGCAATACTGTACAAAAATAAAGTTTTGAATTAAACTGAGAGTTTTTTTGTATTTTTTTTTCCGTGGAATTGAATGGTGTAATCGGTTTGATTTTTTTAATTTAACCAAATTATCAACAATTACTTAAAAATTCATTGTTGCAAGTCATTTTTTACTTTTTTGCATTTTTGAGCATGTTTTTGAGCTGTGATTACACATTATTTCACCAAAAAGTATATGTCAAAATGAAAAAAAATGATTACCGGCAGAATTCTGTACAATGATTTTTTTAAGTAGAATTTTTCTTTGAAAAAAAAAGTGTTTCAGGCCGAAAAATATAAATATCTCAGAAACTTCTTAATTTTTTTTATCTAAAAAAATTTGAGGTTATTTAAGACAGAGAAAGATATACTTTCACCAAGTTTCGTCAAAATTAAATTATTTTTGCGGAAATAAAAAATAAAAAACAAAAAATCAGAAAAAAACTGTTTTTCGCATTTTTATCGTAAATTTTGAGGTTACGTTAAAAAATAACTTTTACAAAAGTTATAGATTTTTGCATGATCTACAACTTTTGTATTGGATACTTTTTTGTTTGACATCAACTTGCGCCAGAAATTCCAATGATACAATTTTTCATAACTTTTCAACCCCCCAAATCAACCCTCCGCCGCCCCTGCTCACGCATTTATTTTTTTTAGGTTTATTATAAGCCCTTTTACCATTTCCACTTATAAAAGTCCAGGTAACAATTTTTTTTTTCTCCAAGTGTAATTTGGTTGGACTACATTGCTAATAGTGTAATTGTAAGATAACATTTTTTACCGGATGTGAATCAAGATTTAAAAAAATCAGATCCCTAAAAAACAAACAAAATTACAGCTGCGCAGACAAATAAGCGTTAACATTTTTGAAATGGGTTACAATGATACATTCGTAAAAATTTCACACAAACAAGCCAAATCTAAAAATATACAATAGTGATTTTTCATGTACGTACATTATAAATTTAGATTTTTTCAGTGTACAAAAAAATCTTACACTTTTGGTTTCATAGTTCGGTATTAATTGACTATACGAAATAATACGTGTAGAAAAAGTAAATACACTGTATTAGATGTCTTGGTTCTATACAGCGTGTTCCAATTAAAACAGGTTTGCCTCAGTTTTTTTTAATTCCGATATTTTCCAGGTGGGAAGTTTTAATTGGAACACCCTGTATGTCAGGAATGTAGATAGCTGTAGTGATATATTAAACATAATAGAGCTCTATGAAAAAAAAATCAATATTTTAACGTTAGATCTCTTGGTCAAAGTTATTTGAAATTCAACTTTTGTTTTTCGAAGGTATTACCATCAAAAAGCAAGAATTGACCTTCAAAGTCAAATCCAAAGTCCGCAATCATCCAAACAACTTTTGTAGATATTATTTTCCCTTTATCTATCCTGGCGAGACACCAACCTGAACAGTTCGAGAATAGGAATAGTTGTCTCAGGTAGATACTACTTTTTCTTTCTTTCAATACTATTTTTATGATTACTGTCCGAGTAAACTGACTAAATGTCGTTAAAATGTAATCTGGCAAGCCGGCCGCACAATATCCTTTAAATACATTTGGCAAAGTATTTTTAGATGTCACATAATTTTTTATGTGTATTGTGCTGCTAAGAGACATGCCACTGACGGAAGCACTGGCTGCAGCAACAACCATCCAGGAAAGAGACGCGTCCGAGTGAAATATAGCAATGTTTTTAAATAATAAAGCTTTATCTGTGTCGAATTCGCATGTTTCCACGAAAATATAACGCGCTGGGAGGATTCCCGTTGTCAGATTCTACTAGTCGCTTGTAAAAGGAAACATTTTCTTTAACTCTCAATTCTGACTTAGTATTGTACCAAATTTCAATTAAATCTTTTGAAAGTTATTTGAAAAAACAAAGTTTGTGGGCTTATTTTTATTATGCCCTATCCCTATGTAATACTGAAAAAAAAAAAAAACGTGGAAACTACGCCACCCCCATCCCTGAAAATAATTAAAGTTAGCGAAAACTACACGCCAATATCGGAATTGGTTCGGACGTTTGAAAAGGGTCGAAATCCAACCGCTGACCCATATCAGTGCTGAACTTGTAATAATGATAATTGACAATTGACCCTTAAATGTGGACCGCGTCCATATTTCATACACTTACCCCGTCGAAGACCCCATAAATCATACAATTAGTTGAGTAATTCTGCACCGTCGAGGTAAGTTAAGTAAATTATTTTTACATAAGACGATGAATAATGCAAAATTTAAACTGATGATGACTTAAAACGGAGCGGACAGAATAATTCGTGTATTTTTTTAATTAATGAGAATATTAAAGAAACATTTAACATTTATTTGTAAGGTAGATGACCAAGTAAGGTTAAACACATACATCAGGATGATTAAAATCTAAACAGCTGCAATGGCCTTGATTAATATATATTATATATTTCGTATATATTTCCTAAACTAATTTTTTCATTTCTCAATTACTTTCTAATGCTCAACGATGACCTTAGAACCGAAATCTACTAAAACAAAATATTTCACTTTTACAAATTCATTAATAAATCGACGAAATTAATTATGTTAAGATATTCGTCGATAAAATCTACACAAATGTCTGTATTCATTAAAGGCCATTTTTCTTGTGTGGGCATCAAAATCTACATCTTAATTAAATCAGACACTTAAAACAAGTCGATTCAAATCGACAATTGGCCATACGTCTACCTACTTGTGAAATATTAAATAAATAACAGTATTATAATTAAGATATGAAGCTAGAAAGATCATATTTTGGACGTCAACAAGGTTGAAACATCTGTTGCGGTACGTTATGATTATAATAACGAGCGTTCAAATAAAAACGTGGTCGAAGTTGGCTCTGACACATTGGACGTAGGGAGTAGCTTATAGCGACCAACTTAACCTCATTTCTCAACGAGCTGTATAGCAGCTGTCAGTTTCAATAACGTTAATGACTATATAACTTTATTTTAAAGAATAATCGTGATAACAATAACAAACAATTAAAGGAGCTGCGGAAAGTGTCCCCCTCCTTGTTATAACAATAAATTAAAGCAGCTGCTGAAAGTGTCCCCCTCCTTGTTCCAAGCACTTTTCACACCTGTTCCTCAAAGAATTAAAGACATTTTCTAAGATGCTCGGGGTATTGTTAATTTCACGAATCTTGTCTATAAGTCGAGCCTGCAGATGGTTTAAATCAGGAATAGGCAGTTCAAAAATAGTGTTTTTAAGGTAAGGCCACAAAAAGAAATCACACGGCGTAATATCACATGACCTCGGTGGAAATTCATGTTCAGCATTGAGACTTATTAGTCGATTTTGGAAAACTTCCCTCAACATATTCATCGTCTCGCCTGCCGTATGTGCCCTTGCGCCATCTTGTTGAAAGTAAAAGTTTGTAATTTCGTTTTCTTCCAGCTGGTTAACAAAAGGAGCGATAATTTCTTCTCTATACCTTTGCGCAGTAAGAGTACCATTAAAAAAAATAGGTCCATAAATCCTCCTTCGATTGAGAGCACACCAAACTCCAATTTTTTGAGCGTGTAGAGGGCCCTCGACAAAAAAGTTATCTGGTTTTTCAGAAGACCACATTCTCATATTCTGTGAGTTTACGTAACCACTTAAATGAAACCAGGCTTCATCAGAAAAAAAGGTGATATTATGAAGTTCACCGTAGTTGTTTAAAAACCATTCACAAAATACAGCCCGTCGCGGAAAATCAACTTCATGAAGTTCTTGCTGACAAGTTAAACGATAGGAGAACAAACGCAAATCTTTTTTTAACACTGTGTGGCAGGTACCGACTGATACTCCCACCATTTGTGATAAAACACGTACAGAAGTTCTTGGCGCATTTTCCATTATTTGTTGGACATTTTCTTTTAATTCTTCAGTCCGCTTTTTAGGTCGGCCGCTTCCTTCTTTTCTTGTTACACTGCCCGTTTCACGAAAAACATTAACACAACGCTGAACTGCACTTTGAAAAATTTTGTACTCAACAACGCCGGGAAATTGATTTTGAAATTCTATGAAACATTCCTCAATAGAATACTTCCATATTCCATCAATCTTGCGTCCATTTCTAAAGTAGGACTCTATGATAAACACTTTTTGTTCTTGAGAAAACACCATTTTAAACGCTTTTTAAAACGAAAATATTCAAATTGATAGCGGCGATATAGCGCTTTGACAGATGACGTTTAAGTTCATTTGCTATACGCTACGCCCTACGTCCAAATTTTCAGAACCAACTTGACCACGTTTTTATTTGAACGCTCGTTATTTATAAAATTATTACACGTAGGTACATTTACTTTACACGCATGTACATTTTCAAAACATCAGTAAATATATATCGCATGCTTAAAATAACGTTAGAATCATGATTTTCGGAATGGGAAAATCATAAACGCCAATTATTCCCAATACGATTAGTTAAGTACTGTAAACACTAGGTACGATACAAATAAGTTTGTATGTACTTAAATAGCTTCATTATGAGTAAACTATACGAAAAATTCCCCTGGAAAACAACATTTTTAATGGTGTTTCAGGCAGTAGATAAAGATATGGAAAATGTTATGTTCTTTTGGTAAAATCAACCCAAATTTGAACAAATTTGTATTTTTTTAAATTACTTTCTACAAAAATTTGATCCTCTTGTTTGTATTTATTTCATTTAATATGCGATTTTAATAACCTCACTGTTGATTAAGAAACAACCCTTTTCCGGTACTATAAACAAATTAGCTGCTACTAAGCAATCTAATATTCCAAGCCGAAGAGTCTGTTGACAAAACAAATTAAATTTTAGTGCAGATTATCTCCCCGCAATTTCGGTCAGATGCTAACGGAGCTAATATAAATTAATGACCTTCTCATCCCTTCTGCTTAGCTCACGGCTTGACGTCTACCAGCCGGTCATTTTGTTAGACATTATTCCAAATTGCCCCGACATGGTTAAAATTTACATTTTTCACGTTTAAATCATCTGGGAGCTTGTCTTTTTTATGTAGAAACATAAAAATACTGCAATAAGCATTATTATCCTAGATTTGGTTATGATTTTAACACAAGTATCAGGAAAATGTAAAAAAAAATGGATATACTCGGTGCCCAGAATGATAAGGATTTTATTTATTTCAAATTTAATATGTTGATAATTCCTAAATGTTTTATAAGTACCTTTCAATTAAGATTTTTTTTAATGCGAGATTTATTTTTAAAGATTTTGTCCCATGAAGTTTTTATATCTGATATGTATTTCGAGTAAAAAAAAAATCTGGCAGGGAATCTAGTGTAATTGATAATCAGATAACACATTTTAGTGAGTACACAAACCACAACAAAACACTAACAAAAACCTATTCGTTGTCATATCAAATTTCAAATACATAAAAAAACAACACTATAGACAATACTGACTCTCCTGGGACACCTTTTATTTATTTTTGTTCTACTTTCCAACAATTTGTGTAAATGCAACCAGAAGTTCACGACTGTAAATTCTTATAGTCTAGTCGTCTGTATTGGAGACAAAATTAAGTTCGCTTATCACGTGGATCACGCGAAGTGTAAATTTAGAGAGTTGCAGTTTAGGGTAACGACATTATTCCACTTGGAAGTTTAAAGGGTTAATAATGTCTTAATAGCTTAGATTTATCCTTATACGACACCTTATCGCTGTCGCTATATTCGGAAATATCTGTCATTACCGCCAATCCCATATTTAATATCTAAAAAAACAAATAAATGTTTTGGTTTTGGAAATTCTCGACTAGTAAACATACTATAAACCTCGTACCTACTATGTAATAATTTATCTAATGTGAAAAATGAATTCTATAAGTGGTTTTTTTTCCAACCCATTTGTATTTGTTATAATACAGGCTTGGATTATGTCAATGTTATTTAGAAAACTAAATAAAGGAGGATGTTCTAGCACAACTTCACTATTTTAGCAATAACTTGAAAACGAGAAAAGACATCGATTTCCGGTTTGTGTATTTATTTGGTCATGAAAAAAAAACCGATATCGTTGCATTTAATTTTTTTAATAAACGGAGACAATTATAAAACTTTTCTCATTAGCGTCATCTACCGTTGCGCAGGAAAATAATATTTTTATTCTCATATCATAAATATAAATTTTATTAATAGTTCTTTAAAATGAACCGTCGTTTCTTGAAATCGATTAAGGCATTTAGAAGTTACAACAATTTAAAAATTTCAAGATAGCGTCCTTCATACTGACGTTGCCATGGTAATAACAAAAAAAAGTTCAAATAAAACTAGTGAAGGGTTTAACAGTGTATCTAAAAAATCTATTTGCAACTTAGGTTGTATAAGCAAAACTTCGAAAAATCGACAATTTTCTGTAACACTATCGCAGTTGCGCCCCCTAGCTGATGAATAAAAATCATAAAATATTGTAAGTATGTACAACTGTGGATAATAAATAATTTTAGTCCGGAAACTTTTTTGTCCGAAGTTGTACGTTGATATTTAATATTGCAATAAGTGTAACTGTTATTTAAGTAAAAAAAAAAATAGTTGCTAAATCTGTAATATGACTCTCCTTCTAATTATTTTGCTTACGGCAACACATTTAATTTTTTAAAGTAAGTACATTGTTAATAAAACCTTGTAAATAAAATTGAGCCATATACTTGCCAACTGTAAATTTAAAATTTTATTATAAATTGTATTTACGCTACATTAAAATTTTGCAAGTGGGTATATTTACGTATTACCTATGGAGACAAGCGAACATTTTCTCTATGAGAATATAGATTTCCAACTTGAAGCTGGCTTCTTCAATATGAAAATCGTATTTGCTTTATTTTGCTTTTTTCTGTTCTTGACTGGAGCAAATATGTCAACAACTTCAAAACCTACGGAGACAGCGGCCACGACTCGTCCACGTAAGGATAATATTTTTTAATTTATTCGTTGGCGTAGAATATACACAAATATTTCGGGATTAATTGGTCAAACTTAAACATTTTCTTCTTGTGATATAATGACTTTGAGTTGAACCAACTAATCCCGAATAACGTTGTATGTACAAATGAAATAAAACTTGTCTTTGTACGCGCTATTAAACGCATAAAATTTTGACGTACTTTTTAATTTCAGCTCCTAGCATTAGGCCTAAATGTAGCGATCCAAACGCAAATCGCACCGAATGTGGTTGGCCCTGTCCATCCACGTGTCAAAAGCAGTACGAAGGGTACTGCCTTACCAAGTGTTATGTTGGTTGTGAATGTAATGCCAACTTTGCTTATGACCAGAAATCAAACAAATGCGTTAGCGAGTGTCCCTGAGATCCTGACATTAATTCCCTATCGCCTGTTCATGTAAATAAAAAAGTAAATTGAACGGTGTTTTTTATTTTTGTTTATTGTAACGTTGGGAGGGATTATTAGACCGATCAAAATAACTCATTTATACGGGAAAATAAAGGAAAATTGTTACCTGGACTTTCATAAGTGGAAACGGTAAAGGGGCTTACAATAAACGAAAAAATAAATAAATAAATGCGATTTAGGGGGTTGAAAAGTTTTGAAAAATTGTATCATTGGGATTTCTGGCGAAAGTTGACGTCAAACAAAAAAGTATCCAATACAAAAGTTGTAGATCGTGCAAAAATCTACAACTTTCGTAGAGGTCATTTTTTAACATAACCTCAAAATTTCCGAGAAAAATGCGAAAAACAGGTTTTTTCTGATTTTTCGTTTTTATTTCTCATTTCCTCAAAAATAATTTAATTTTGACGAAACTTGGTGAAAGTATACCTTTCTGAGTCTTAAATAACCTCAATTTTTTTTAGATAAAAAAATCAAGAAGTTTCTGAGATATTCATGTTTTTCGGCCTGAAACACTTTTTTTTCAAAGAAAAATTCTACTTTAAAAAAATCATCGTACAGAGTTCTGCCGGTAATTATTTTTTTCGTTTTGATATATACTTTTTGGTGAAATAAAAAAATTTGTAATCACAGTTCAAAAGTAAGAAATAACTTGCAGCAAGGAACTCTGTACGATGATTTTTTTTAAGTAGAATTTTTCTTTGAAAAAAATAAGTGTTTCAGGCCGAAAAAATGAATATCTCAGAAACTTCTTGATTTTTTTATTGAAAAAAATTTGAGGTTATTTAAGACAGAGAAAAGTATACTTTCACCAAGTTTCGTCAAAATTAAATTATTTTTGCAGAAATGAAAAATAAAAAACGAAAAATCAGAAAAAACCTGTTTTTCGCATTTTTCTCGAAAATTTTGAGGTTATTTTAAAAAGTGACCTCCACAAAAGTTGTAGATTTTTGCATGATCTACAACTTTTGTATTGGATACTTTTTGGTTTGACGTCAACTTTTGTTAGAAATCCCAATGATACAATTTTTCATAACTTTTCAATCCCCAAATCAACCCTCCGCCGCCCCTGCTCATACATTTATTTTTTTTTAGGTTTATTAAAAGCCCTTTTATCATTTCCACATATAAAAGTCCAAGTAACAATTTTTTTTCTCCAAGTGTAATTTGGTTAGACTATATACGATAGCGTAGCTTATAAAACCCATGATTTACCCCCCAAATATGTCAAATTTATTGTGAGTTTCTACAAAACCAATTTAATTCTGCAAATCATGTCGTAACGTAAGTATCAGAAAATAAAAGTAAAACGAGCTGTCATAAGCCGTGAGGTTTTAATATTTTTCTCATTGAAAAGGAAGATAAATTTCAAACAGCAAAAGACTTCACAAAAGTTTAGTTATAAACGAAATATGATGAAAAATAAAAATTTTGTGGTGTGAAAATCAAAACAAAGCCAAATATTTTAGACATGTCGTTGAGCACACACTGCAACTAACGGAGCTGCTTATTAAAGAAAATTGTAAAATATGCACAAGTAATTATCACATTATCAAAAGTAATTTGCAAAATTATACCATTTATTGTTAACTGGAGTTCATTATACATATACAGGTGGGTGTAAAAATAACGGCTGCATGCTGCAATACAAGTAAATAAGTAGGTATTTTTTTTTGTATAGGCATGTAATTCTAGCCTGAAGACGCGAATTTGTTGTTCACGAAACGGGTAGCATTGTACTTAAATATAGAATTATGCGATATTAGATTTTCTTTTATTATAAAATATTATACTTATGTTCTTTCTAAAATTAAATTTTTATGTTATGCAAATTAAAAAAATATTCAGAGTAAAAATTGTATAAAACTAGTGACATATAACCTACAAAAGTATATGTCAAATTTTTAAATGTATTGCTACTTTGTGTTGACTGAAAAAAACTGGCAGGTTTATCCATTAAAAAAACATATTGAGCAGTGTTTTTTTTCTATTAAAACCAATTCGAGTGCCGACTAATGATTATTATTAATTTCTAATGTGCTCTTCTGAAATTATCATTAAACTTAAAAAACAACTAAATTCACAATTTCAATAATATTCTCTTTACTTTTCACCGAGCCTATTGATTTTATTGCTACGTTGCAAAGCAAAGATGTACATAAAGTGGAATTTTTAACATCCACCATGTAAGTAATATTCCGTCATACAACTGCAATCCGTGAAGAATATAATCAGTATCTTATCAATGTGGTTGCATTTATATTAAATTGATGCTAAATTTAACAGATATAGGACATAAATATTAATTTCTGAGATAAATTGGATTTCTTGTTATAAATACGAAAATTAGTGTGCGCATTCATTTGTTGTGGCTCAGTTGTTTAAAGTAAAAATGGCACTTGGATCCGTTTGCTATTTGTTGTTTTTTATTACAGCACTATGTTCTGGTGGAGAGGGTAAGAATAACGTTGTTTTAATAGTTTTATTCATATCTTCCTAGGAAAAATAAAGTTATGACTATGACATTCTTTTGAAGAACGATGTTAATAGTATTTCGAATTTTGGCTTTAATTTGTGTCAGTTATTTTTAATAAGCTAGGTACCGTAATTTACTTGATTACAATAATAGTAATGTCAGTCATACATAATTAAATGGTGTATATTAAACGAGTATTTTTGGAACTGCTGCTTATATATTACATTAAAAATTTATTTCATTACCACCTTCACTATCAGGACCACACCAAAATAACATACAGGGTGACTGAATTGCTCAAACCAAACTTTCTTTGGCGATACAAGTTGAAGTTCCTGAAAATGTTTTTTTCAATATAATAAAAATAATCAAATGAAAATCTATACAGGCATTTCACCATTTATATTTTATAAGATGTATTTTAAATCATTTGTATTCGAAAGTAGGTCATTTTAAATAAAAAATGCACCCTATGTTGGATGAAAAGCTCAAATTTTAGGTTTTTGGTTTTAAGTAATTGAAAAAATATCACAAGATGCAAAAAGTGAAAATTTGTGTACATTATCATATGCTTATCCTTGGTACATCCAAAAAACATTTACAGAAATTTGAACTATTTTTTCTTAGAATCATGTTACCAGATAAAGTTTGATTCGTGCAAAACGGAGACACATTTATAGTCCAATCAAATTAGATTTTTACTTGCCAAAATTTTGATCATTAAACAAATACACGTAAAAATTAAGAAAAATTCCGTAGAATTGTATGAACTACTTTACCTCAACTGAATGTTAGGGCTTCTTTTTCAAAATGGCGTCCAAAGTTCGCAAAAAAACAGTTTTTTTTATTAAAAAAATAACGTTTAAAAAAAATGTTTTAGACAAAAGTTGTAAAACTTTTTATAACAAAAATTTTGAGCCTAGCCCGATGTCAATTGATAAACACAATTTATAAACAAATGTATTAGTTATTGCAAAAAACGGCATTTTCTTTAAAACGAAAAAAAATTTTCATCAATGCTACGGAATTTTTTCTAATTTTTACGTGTTTACTGAACTAAATTTTGGCAAAAAACGTGGTATTTTCCACAATTTGATTGGCCTATTATATAGAGATATATTTTATCAAACATTTTACAGAGAAAAAAGTATTTTGATATAAATTTAACCATGAAAAAATTACTTGTTTGTTTTTTTTTTACAGTAAAGTTTAATAGTATTTTGTTTAATTTCAGCCTCTGACCAATGTGAGGACCCAAACGCATACTATACTGAGTGTGGAACAGCTTGTCGCGCTACCTGTCAAAATAGACAGTACGGCAACTGCATCGCCCTTTGCGTCCCTGGTTGTTTCTGTAAACGGAATTATATACTGAACGAGGACTCAGGGAAGTGCGTCACTATTCGAAACTGTCCACGATATTGAACACAATATATCGACATGTTAATAAACTATATATAGTACAGTATCTAATGTTTTACTTTTTATTTAAAATAGTCCCTTACGCAGAGATCATCTGAAAAGGGATCATCAATCTACTTGAGTTTTACAAATTCACAACTTCAATATTTTCTTGACTTTCCTATGAGTCTAATGCTTTTATTGTAACAAGGAGAATAGTAAGTTCCATTTTGGAACTAATTTGGCCAAATACCTTCAGAATTATGCCATCAAAGGTTTAAAAATACCCTTGTAGGTAATATTTGGTGATGTAACTGCAATTCGTGAAAAATATAAACACAGTATCTTATCAAATGCACGCATTGCTGTTAAATTTTACACATGCAGGAAACATTAATTTCTCAGATAAACCGCATATTTCGCCTGAGTATAAAAGAAAATTCATGTTCCGTTCAGTTCAAGTACTCAAATGAAAATGGCAACTGGTTCCTGTTGCTGTTTGTTGTTCATATTTGCAACACTACTTTGTGGTGCAATGGGTAAGGAATAAGTTTTTTTCTATTCTAAATAGTATTTTGTAAAAAAATGACTCTGGAAGAAGACCATTTCAAACTATTCCGGAATTTAGTTGCTGTGAAAGTGTCTTAAATATCCATTATATGTTTGGTAATCAATTATTAATTGTTCGTTAGGTAAAAAATCATCATATGTGAATTAACGCCGACAAAATTTTAAACCAGAATTACATCACAATTAAATTCATTAGCTACATATACACTTACCTTTTCTTTTTAGTTTCGGCTTATTCCATACAGTGTTTTGATCCAAACGCGGTCTACACCAATTGTGGCTCAGCGTGTGCTCCCACGTGCCAAACCAGACACCTCGAGATTAACTGCATTGCCGTCTGTATTACCGGTTGCTTTTGCAGATCGAACTTCATATGGGATGAATGGTCTGGAAGATGTGTCAGGGTTCAAAACTGCCCTCAATACCAAACATGCGGTCCGGTCCCTCTGTAAATAAAATATAGATAGTACAGTATCGAATCTATTTTTTTTATTTAAAATGATTAACTTGACATTTGGTTGGACTTGGAATTGGACTTTTTTACTAAACTCGTACAGGTTCCAATGTTAGAAACAATGGATTTTGTACCTTAAGTAAGGATTAAATGGGGATGGGCATGCGTCTGTTTGGGTTCTAGTAACAAAGCTTCTATCTTCTAAATTTTTTTATTTGCTGTCACTTTTGCCAAGAAATAACTATGAAACCATTAATTCACTTCATTATACTCTAACCTATACTTTTACAGACCGTCAAACTGTAGGACTTCTGTAAAAATTAGTTAATATCTTTTATAATTGAATGTAGTTACGTGGCTCATAAAATGATTGTTCATTTGTTTTTAAAAGTTTATCTCTAAGATTATCATCAGTGTTGATTTGTAGTTATTGATTGAGTGTGAAATTATAGGACCAATTGAGATATGGCAATTCAGTGATAGCTAAAAAAAATAATGCACGAGATAGCGTCAAAATTCTACGTGTCGTAGGAATCATTTTCCATTTGATTGAAGTACCCGTGATTGCATTTTGCAAATAAGTAAATGCTAATAAACCTATTAAAAAATCTATATCTACAAACAGATGTTCAGATAAGATGTTTGATTATAGGTAGGTATATAAGAAAATAATTTTCGCCTAGTTATTCGTTATCTGTTTCTGTACTCTATCCAAAATGAAGGTGACATATTCTTTTTGCTGTTTGTTATTCTTAACCGCAATTCTGCTTTGTGAAGGGCGAGGTAAGCATGACATTTTTTTTATAATTTAAACCAGATTTTACGTAAATATTCATCCTTGATAAACTGAAGAAAACTTGTGATTGTAATAATGATATTTTTTTTTAAATAAATCATTTTAAATGCCGTTTTTTTCATGAACTTTCTAGCTTCTAACCTTTGTGACGACTCAAATTCGGATTATCTTGAATGTGGGACAGCCTGCCCTGCTACATGCCAAGATAACACAAGATCACACGGTTGCATTGACGTTTGCGTTCCTGGTTGCTTTTGCAAATCGAGCTTTGTATTAGACGAGGTCACGAACAAATGTGTTTCAAGCTGTCCCGATACTGAAAATTGAACTTATTGTGCAAATAAAATTTGAAATTATATGTACAATGGCTTTATTTAAATCCACATTTATACCTACATAAGTTACATTTGTATGCTGATATACAGGGTGGCCCAATTAACACAGTCCATCCGAAATATTTTGGCAATAGATGGCAACCCCTTCAAGAATCTTAAATGGCACATCATTTTAAAAGCATTTCAATTCTCTTTACAAATATGCTGAAATTCTTTTATTCTGCCTTAAAATTATTGTAAAAAACCTATTGGAAACGTGGCATTCTTGCCACCCCGTTTAGGGGGATGACCCTACATCCATGAATTTATGATCAAAAATCAAAATCGACCTGTTTCGGGATTTTCCGGAAAAACCTTTTGCATTGAAAATATTTCAGATGGGCTGTTTTAATTGGGCCACCCTGTATACTTACTAATATAGAAATGAAATTATACTATGTTTATTTATTAATTATGAAGGCCCTGTATAAAGAAAAAACACTTGTTAGAAAAACAGTACACTAAAGAAAAAAAAAGTAGCTAATAAACACCAGTTATTGATACTTAAATATCATGAGAGATTTGCTAAAAATCGCTTCTTGTTATTATCAATCATCAGAGTGACTTCTAACCAAGGTAAGTGTTGTTATACTTATTTTTTTATTATGTATTTAATGTGTCTAACTTGTAAACACCACGACTTAATAAGTTTATCTTTAAGATTATCATCAATGATGAATCATAGTTGTTGTTTGGTGTTCGTTTGGAGTCGAGAGATACAATCTATTAAGATAAAGATATGGCAATTCAGTGACGGCTAAACAAGAAATAAGTGCACGAAAGAGGTTCATGGATTTTCCATTAGATTGAAGTACCCGTGATTGCTTTTTGTAAATAAGTAAACACTAATGATCTATTTAAAAAAAATCACAGGTGTAGAGATAAGATTGTGGGTATATAAAAAAAAATAATTCTCGGAAAGCTATTCGTTTCTGTTCTTGTACTGACTTCGAAATGAAGGTGTCATTTTTCTGTTTATTGTTTTTAGCTGCAATTCTACTTTCTAGTTGACGAGGTAAGCATGATTGTTTTATTACTTTAGTAGATTTTTTGAAAATTTTCTTCTTTTCCCATATCGAAGTAAAATGAGGGTTTTTATATGAGTTTTTAGATGAACAAACTGTCTAAAATTGCAGTTTTAAATAGCATGTTTCAACTTCTAGCTGATGACCCTTGCGATGATACAAATTCAGAGTATCTGGACTGTGGAACAGCGTGTCCAGCTACATGCCAAGACGATTCCGAACCAACAGATTGCATAGACGTTTGTGTTCCTGGTTGTTTTTGTAAGGAGGACTATGTATTAGACGAGATTTCGAACAAATGTGTTCTAAACTGTCCCGATACTGAAAAGTAACACCACTCACAATCCTCAATAAAATGAAACAAAAGTTAAAATATGGCTTTTATTTCATTACATCCATAACACCTATTTAAGTTACATTTCTGTGTCGATATATACTTAATAGTATAGAAATGATGTCATACTGTGCTTGTAATATTTGTTATACTCGAAATATGCATAACGTTTTGATTGAAACACACTTGGTACGTACCAAGGCAGAAAATCACTTAACTTCAAAACGATTCTGTTTACCCAAGTTATTCGGAATATTGAATACACTAAATCTTACTTTATATTCACATCAAGCTACGGAGCAAGCCCTTGTTTTTGTACTTACAAAAGGAGCCTTAGCTGATGGAACACCTAGGGTTTAAAATATGTATGCTAACAAGGCAAATTCATTTCATTTTTAAAATTGTTCATACAAAAAGTGTATAGGAGGCTCTTTAAATTCTAAAATGTAGAATCTAAAACTTGTAGTATTGTAGTAAATGGGTATACATAAAGAAACCTATAGGGGAGAAAGTGATTTCTTAAATAGAACAGAAAATAAAGAGCCATATGGAAAAATATAGTTATAAAATCCGATATAAATAAAATGTTTTTGATTAAATTATTTTTGTTGTATAAATTACCACATATCGATATGAATAAAATATACAATTATTAATTATATATTGATATTAATAATTTTATTCTAATATGTATATGTTCTGAAAAGATATATTGGAATAGAAATAGGTCAAAGATGAATGTTAATCTTAAAAGAAATTTTATAGGGTAGATATTTGATTTAACAGCCTCTCTAAATATTTACATTTCGTAATGTATCATCTCGGCGGTAAGTGAAAGAGGTAACTAGGTAAATATCACTTTAAGTAAGATACGGAAGCCCTAAGAAATTATTGGGTACCTCACTCCGTGCCCAGAATCCAATTTAGAGATATTTACACGAATGTATTTGTCCTAAATTAAATGGAATTGTACATTTCATATTTGTACATTAAAGAACTTGATTTGTATGGTGAAAATGTAATGTTTATTTATTCAAAAATTCAAAGAACATTTAACATCTGAAGTCTTGCATTTACAAGTCAATTTAGAGCAAATATAATACTGGAATCCCAGTGTTTTCTTGTCGACAAAAAAAAGGATACAGCACAGTACACAATAAAGGGAGTTCGTTCGTTCCAAAAGAAAAAAGAACTCGCAGCTTTCGGTTCACATTTTCGTGAAATCCAAAAGTGAGCGATTACAAAAGACAATAGGCAGAGCTTAAAATATAAAAAGCGAATATTTTTTGTTGCGGTGTATCTAAATGACACGAAGGGAAAATTCTAAATTCCAAATCTGTTCTCTAATGCATTATTATGGACTCTTCTTAACATATAAAAAGATATCGACTACAGTTTTTGATGTTATATATATTTTTAAAATGTAGATAAATTTATATTGCACATAATTCAATTTTAGATGAGTTATACCTAGCCTTTTTATGGCCGGCGATCAGTATAAAGCGAAGAAAAATATATAATCTCTTCCCTTATTTGACATCCATAGCTGTGTCATAAAACCTAAATGAATCGGATATATTTTATGGTAGATTCGATCACAATTTCTTCCTTGGTGACCGCCGTAAAGCCGACATAAATATTTATTTGCTAATAAAGTCGGTAAATGTTGGACTTGATAGAAAATAAAGAGTTTGCGTTATACGTCCCCCATCGGGACGCCACTGTCTAAAAAGTCTTTCATAACGGTTTGTTCCACCCCCAACAATACCCGACATAGTTTTTAGTCCAGAATTTCCTCACCGAGTGCAGAACAGGCCCTGAAAAACCAGAAAGTTGCCAACGTGTATCCTCGTTATTCGTCAGTTAAAAACAGACAACCAAAACTAACTGCCAGGGAATAATAGTAAGCCCGTATGAACCCGACGCAACCTCTGTTCTGTAAGTAACTCCCAACTTTGAGTGTAAATGTTATAAAAGCGTATCTGAATTGAAACAACGGTCGAAACTCGGAACAGCACATCATAAAATGCTATGAAAGCTTGGTATCGTACATTTATGGGCAATTTTCGTTCTTGTGTCGTAGAACATGTAAAATGCAACATTGTAGACGGATCAATTCAACCAGAGCCGAGTTTTGACGCAATAGGTACATTTCCTGTAAAATAACGCAGTTTCGAAATTACCCTTCGGTCAAATGTTCCTAATAAATTTACGTCCAGAAATTCGAACGTTAGTTCTCACATTCCATATCACACGTCCCAAATCACACGTATCGCACGACCCTTGTCGTGTGTGCGGTGTGCGAAATGTCAAGTGTCGCACGGCGATATCCTATATCGCAGCCTCACTTTCTTATTTTATGCCAATACTTAATATCATCCCACCTTTTGTATTTATCGACCGGTAAATATATGGCGACGTAAATTGCGAACAGTCATTATGAGATCACGAGCTGTTCGCTAGCGTCGGTGGATGCATTCCTTTACGGTTCCATTCACTACTTTTTATATCGAATTTCTAGGTGGTCGAGTCGTATCCTAGTCAGGGGGAAGACCTCGAGCAAACAAGGTTTGTCCTGGCATTTGGGATTTTGGAAAAGGACCGCGGCCCAACAACGAAGGTAATTGCCGCCAATCTCGAAAAAAAAATCCGTGATGAATGTAAAGGAGGCCGAGCCGTCGGAGAAGAAGAGACTAGGGGAAAAGGATTGTGCGTAAACAATGTTGTGTCGGGGGCCCTGGGGGTCCTCCGAACGCCAATCAATGATGCGGGGGGTAGTGCGCGCGCGCGACGCACCTGTTCCCTCACGGGACGCCTATTCCACTCGCGTCTTTACCGTCGTTCGGTTGTGATGATGTGAACGGGCCAAGCCACGCTTACGACAACTTGTTTATGTCTTGCGGCATGGTGTAAAAGGTAAGCGAACTCTGTGTTGTTTGCCTGTCCTCCCCCGCTGCACGCGAATTCTCTTTCAAAGACGGAACCGCGAATACGAAATTGCGTTTTTTTATTAAAATTTTCGCCGGTAATATTCTTTTCCTTATTTATTGGGTATTTTGCCACCTGTGAAAAAAAATTAGAGAATTTATGAAATAAACCTTTGTGCCAAAAAGATTATGTTGAAAAGACCTCTCAATCTGGAAAAATATGGATTAGACGAGCACAAACATTTCATTAAAAAATGTGAATTTGAGAAAACATTTTCGTAGAAATTAAGAGATTTTGTTGAACTAAAAATTGTAAAAAATGAAACGAGTAATAGAATAAACATCATAAACAAATTTAAACTGACAAAAATTTAGAGGGTGTTTCAGGATTAAGTCGACAAACTTTATGGACATATTCCTCATAAAATAATAAGAACAAAATCAAGTATAATTTTTTTTTCCAGAGACGCTTCATTTTCGAAATATAGGGCGTAAAAGAATTTTAGAAAAATTCGAATTTTTTAAATAACTTCTAAATGAAGGAGGCTATTTAGGTCAAATTTGGCATGACACATCTTATAAGATACTATTTTTCCAAAGAAGTAGAAGTCCCGCAAGCAACCAGGGACTCAGACTCATTAAATAATTAAAAAAAAATTAATACGGCCCTACTGAAAATAAAAAATTATGCTGTTTTTAGATAGAACAACTTTTTTCCTAACTCTTATAGTTTCATGGCAAAATTGATTTTTCGGAAGGGTGCTTCTGGATTCTGTCGATAAACTTTAACAAGACGTTCCTCGTAAAACCTTAAAAAAATATAGTACCTATTAAAATTGGTCTTAGTATCGAGTATGTGTGAGTCAAATAAGCCTTTTTTTGTCTCCCCTTCCCTTGGGTTTAACCAATAGTATTAAAATAGGAAGAAAGTTGTTCCATCTAAAAACAGCATCATTTTTTATTTTCAGTAGGGCTGTATTAATTTTTTTTTATTAATTAATGAGTCTTGAGTCCCTATAACTCCGCCACTGGTTGCTTGCAGGACTTCTACTTCTATGGAAAAATGGTATCTTATAAGAAGATGTGTCATCCAAATTTGGCTTAAATAGCCTTCTTCATTTAGAAGTTATTTAAAAAATTCGAATTTTTAAAAAAATTTTTAACGCCCCGAAAATGAAGCGTCTGGAAAAAAATTTATACTTGATTTTTTTCTTATTTTTTATGAGGAATATCTCCTTAAAGTTTGTCGACTTAATCCTGAAACACCCTGTATATTTTACCAGTAAATCCATAATTGTACAATTCCAAAAATACATATAGTAGCGGTCATAAGATTTAAGATGTTAAAAGGTATGGTTAAAGAGGATATTTTCCAATTCTTCCAAAGTAACGGTTTCCGAAATAACGGTTCCGAATTAATGATAACCGAATAACGGTTCCAAAGGAACTGTTCCGAAGTAACGGTTCCGAATTAACGGTTTTAAAATAATGGTTCTAAAATAATGATGAACGGGTACATAGTAGCAGTGGTAATTTTGAATTGGAAGAAACATACCCCAAAAAAAATCTCCCAAACATTTATTTGTGGAGTCATATGAAAACGATATTCGAAGAATTCTTTCTACAGAATTGGCAATGTAGTAATTAAAAAAACAGTATAGCCCAATTTTGTGGCTGAAACAATTTCTTAGACATAGATATACTTGAAGACCTTCGTATATATGCTTCTATTAAATTCATCTTTCAACATTATTACCTGAAATCAGGCTATTAGATTTTTTTACAGCCATTACGTACCTACATTACGCCTTTAGGGCTCCACTTAACATTAAAAGCAATTTTTTATAAGAAGCCGAGAGCAAATTACTTTTTCGCTCGTCGCTATAGGGAGAATATCATTATTATACCAACAGGCGTCTTCAAGAGAATCATAATGAACCTTTTTAATGTCTTATGTGTAATACATTAGCGAGATAAATAAACTTTCTTGACGCGTTGCCTGCTAGATATTTTTACGATTATTCGAAATATTTTATAATTTTTTTTTTATTCGGATAGAGCTTGTCTCCACATCATATTTGGCGATAAACTGCTGGTAAAATATTAATTATTATTTTTATAATAATATACAATCACAATCAGTATTAATTATATGTTAATATATTATCATTCCTTTATGACAGACATATCTAATGTTTGTTACGTCAGTCATTCGCTGTTTTATCGAAATTTTAGTCAGTTCCAGGAAAGAGCAATAATTTTCAGTTGGTTTTCAGTAAATACTCGCATAAGAATATAGTGACAGCGTAATATATACTGCTGTCGGGATACTTCACTTTTTCTTTGCTTTTTATGCCTTCATCTGTTTGGATTTGGTCCGGATTTTCTTTTCTTTTTTACACACCCAATTTTTTCGAAGCCTCTTCAGATTTCTTGATATCCTTAACTTCATATACTAAATTCCATGTACTTCTTATATTCTTTGATATTAATTAATACACTTGCAGATTGAATTTTATTAAATGACAATTTTTTTGAATTTAGAATCAATCGAAATGAAAGCTCAGAATGACAAAATTATTCTATTGACATTAAATTAGATCTTGTACGAAATATCTATCAACTTTGCAAAAAATCTACCATCAGCAATTTTAAGCTTCAGAAAAAACGATCCTACAGTCTGAAAACGCTGCATTTTTCAGCTGAAAATGCAGACTCGGAATTCCAACAATAAAGTGAAAACGGCTATAAACGGCATAAAATCGCCTCTCGTCCTTTTTTATATTGTATTCCAATAAATGCCGTCGAATCTCAAACTGCCCTCGTTACCACTGAATAGAAATCTTTCTTAATATCACAATATCACCCTTGCCATGCCCATAAACATTTGAAAAAAGAAGCACACAACGGAAATCAAAGCAGAATGTCAAACTCTCAATGCTAACGACTCGGATGCCTTTGAAATATTTTTTTTTTATTGAAACATAATTTTTCATTGTATTTTATCAATACCTACTCTAATCGAATTTTGTTATACCAAATAGTTGCTGAAGGGGAAAGTTAAATTCATATTATGTAAAATAAGATTGATAAATTATTTTCAAATACAAAATAGATATTTATAACAAAAAAAAAACACAGATTGCAAATTACTGAATATAAGTTAAGTTTCCTAAAAATGGTAAATCGTGCGTTTTAGGTTCATTAATCATGCACAAATGCCTCATGTTTATTACCATATCAACCGTAATAAATAGGGATGAAATATTTCACCTGAGGCAAGTCTAGAAAACAAAGGGACCTGGATTTATTATGTCGAGAGGGTGAGAGCAACGTTATTTTCATAAGCTTCTGTGCGGTCAGCGAACAATATTAATCCAAATATTCGCGATTTTACGGGGGGTTTTATCACAGAGTCGGTCATTTCTACATTTGTATAACGAACTTGTTTTTGTACTGTCTGTGTATAATTTACTTAATACGTGTATAATATGTAATATCCTAAGATTGTTCACGGCGACTAACAACGTATTCGCACTAATAGTATTTTATTAGCTTGTATATAAAAAAATATATATTCCAAATACGTGATTCGGTTGGTTACAGTGGATACGAAACAGTATTCTGTATATGTCTGTGCAATATATATCCACCACACATAAAGGGCCCTATAATAAATATAAACGACGTGAAGCAAACCATTTTAAAAGTTTTCCGCCGATAAGAATTGATTTTGTGCCCCAAGAGAACAACGCCGGTATTAGAGAATGTATCTGAAAAGTTTTTTCAGGTAACATAGATTTGTAAGTCTTTCGTGTTCTCCTAAAAAGAGACGTGTAGCAAGAAAAACGTATCCCATTGCTTACAGATCGCCTATTTATACGAAGTGTATGCAAATGGTAGTAACAAATTATTGAAAATACCATAGAAATATTTAATAGAAATTAGATTTGATAGCAAATTCAGATTTACGGTGTTCCTGATGTTCTATGTACCTCCCTACCTAATAATGTCTAAAGAAATTATTAAGTAATTATCTTTCCTTGACAATAAAAAATATAACAGATGATTATGAGTAAAATTTCAAAAAGAAACACAACTTCAGATCTTTAATATACAGACTCCTGTTTCATTAAAGCGGTTTTTGAATTTCAATTAGATATTTCAATTTATCGCTCTAATCGTACGCATTGTTGTGGGGCAAAAGTTGGCGGCGTAGGGTTAAAATTATTTATTACTGAAGTCTTATCCACTTTGCTCTACTTACTATGAAAGTTACAGCCAGACGATGGGGAGCGGTGCATGTTCAGCGAGTTGGTTGAAAGGGAAGTTCGCGGATAAGGGTTAAACTTGAATGATATTTTATAGAATAAGGGAACATTTCTTACGCGAACAACGTTCTTCATAAAAGAATCCGACTTGTCTCTGTGCGACGTAATTGTTTAATGGGAAGACGCCACACATAATTATTTTATGATATGATATACTTCAAAACAAAGACTTTATTTTTGGATGATTTAATTAAAAATATTTCCGTTGGAAAAGTAACCCTTTATTGCATAATAATTGACGGTAGACGACATCGGCACGAAGATTAATTTGAATGCGTCCCAAACCATCGCAATACGGCCCTTGCGATCCCCACATCAGATTTATGGCCGAACCAGAATTGGAATGACGGTATTATCCTCTTGAGTGTATGGAAATTGTTTTATACCACAATAGGATGGAGATAAGCCCAGCTGCTGACATTTCGCAAACGTTTGAAGGCTTATTACACAAACACCAGTTGTATAACTCGTCGTCCTCAATCTATGGAAGTTCGATTGCATACGGGAGATCGCCAACGACAAGGTTAATGTGTCGGAGTGTCACATGTCAATAAGTTTGTATAGTTGGTGCTTCAGCTGGACTGAATCTGTTTGCGGCATTAGGTATCTCACACAGCACGGCGAACAAGTTTTGAATATTACAATGATAACGATATTG